TAATGAATACTGATTTTGTGTACTACAGCCTTTCATAGCCTTTGTAAATGATGGGGTTTGCCCTGGGGTATTTATGATAAACAAATATTCTGAAAGCTACTGTCAATTTATTTACATGATAGATGAGATCCTGTAGGAATCCCAAAAAGGTTAACGTTCTAAAAATACAGTATGTTAGGAATGTTGTATTCCTATCAAGCTGTATTTTTAGAACCTCAGCTTGATTTTTAAAGTCATCTGTAGCAAGTAGCTATTATGTATCCATTGCTATTACCTAAACTATTATTCTTCTCTTCAATTATAAATTTACTTTTTACTTGATGCAGTTGCTAAAAATAAGGATCTTTGGAATTCGTCAAATGTTTTCCAATAATCCCAGTATTAAACATGGTCCAAGAAGGGATTAGTTAAATGCTATTAAAAATATTTGCTTCATCTATTTCACTGTGGTTTTACTGTGTTTTTTCTTCTAACATCACTAATACTAAATAAAAATGAAATAATATAGGTATTGCCTCGAGTGTTTTCAGATACTCAAGTACACCTTTGAAAAATATTTGCATTTTGTGTTAACTTCATGATTTGGATATTTTAATGATTTCCATAAATGAATTCCCATTAACATCACATATTAAAAATCCATTATGAATAATTATTACCAAGGGCAAATTAATTTGCTTTGCAGAGACAACTATAATGGAAAGAATTACATACAGGAAATTTCAACAGTTTAATACAGTACAAAACATAGTTTTAAGAGAACTAAGCCAGTAAAAATTTAAGAGCAAAGTCAGGCTTCATACAGTAAAATCTTTTTGGTCACTTTGGATCAGTTTTTCAGAATAAATATATTCTTGCAAAAATATTTTGACATTTGATATTTCTGTAAGTAAATAGACACCTGAAAAACAAAAATCATGAAGTGAACATGAACATTCAAAAAACAATTTGGTTTCTGATGCAATTATGAAGGAGAATAGCTGGAGCTACAGTAGCATCACTACTAACTGAACACCAGCTGATTTAATTGGTTACTACTGTGTGTATTTCCTCTACAATATTTTTAATTAATAGTCCATTTAATTTGAGAATAAACTTGGGTTTAATATCTTGGGAACATAATAAAAATTAACCTCATAAAACAGAACTTTAGTTTGATATTCTTCCTTAATATCTAACCAAGATTATCATATACCTAAATATCATTTCTACTCAAGGATAAGCCAAAATTTAGAATTCTGAGTGAAGCTGAGATTTGATTTTTCCACATCTTATTTTTTTCTGTTTTACTGAGAAGGAGGAAAAGGGGGTGAAATATTTACATGGTTTAGTGATCTGTTTCTCATCAGTGTCACCTATAAATGCAAAAAGAGGGTAAATGCTTCAATAGGTCTTTCTTTGCCATATGTAGACCATAGAATATGCATTTCATTCTTGCCCTGTTAGTCCCTTCACAGTGATATGGATCCAGTTCTTTAAAATTGGAATTATTAATATAGAGCAATTTCAGGCAGGTCTGAAGCTTTTTGAGCACATCAGAACATATCTGTGCCCAAGCTGAGACGCTATGGTCTGGATGAGTGGGGAATTAGAGAAGTAAAACAGGGAGTTGGTTGTTTAGGCTTATTGGGCACTGGTTATTAGGAGGTATCACAGGGTCTGTTGTGGGCTAGAGTACTTGCCTTGCCTGTGAGAACAGACTGAGGGACAGCGGATTATTCATCCTGGCTGCTGTGGAGGGAACATAACAGCAGCCACCCAGAGCCTGCAGGGAGGCCAGAAAGGATATGGATCCAGGCTTTTCATAGTTGTATATAGTGAGAGGAAGAGAGACAATGTATTTGTGTTGGAAAAGCAGACATTCAGGTTGGGTATAATGAAAACTCCCAAAAGGGCTATGAAGCAGTGGAGTGGGTTGCCCAAAAAGATTCTAAAACAGTGACAATTTTCAAGACCTGGCAGGACGTAGCATGAGCGGACCTGAACAGATCTGAGAAATGAGCTTTGATTTCAGAGCTGGCCTTGCAGCAAGATGGACTAGAGACTTCATGAGATCCTGAATGATCCAATGGTTATACGACTCTACATACAAAATACAGGTCAGAGTCATAATGATAACAGCAAGGAAAACAAGGAAATCTCTCTAAAGATGAGAAACTATTTAGATGAAATTTTCCCCTTAAAGCATAATGTTTGTTTAAGAACCTCACCAAGATTTTCTACCTTTTTTTTTTAATCTATATAGCTAAAAGTATTAACAGGGAAAGATTGAAATACATCAGCTTGGTGAAACAACAAATACGTATTTGCAGGACTGACATTTCTGCAAATGCAGTGACAAGGAATTAAGTTAAGCAAGACTATCAACCTTCAGACAATTTTTATGCCTGAAATGGTCCTTGCTTACCCATTTTCCCTGAAAAGAACCCACAAATTCAACTGTCTCACTTTTGTTTATTTTTCTCCCCGGTTACTAATAGTTTTTGTCTATTAATTATGATCTCTCAGAGCTTCCTGGAAAAAATCCTGGTTTGGAAAGTTGTGTTTGTTTGTTGTCTTTTTTTTTTGTTTTTATTTTGTTTTTTAATGAAAAAAAATTACATGTATTAAGTTTGAAATGATGTATTAGTTGTAACTAACCACAACTGACATCCTGTAGCTAAGGAAACACAGAATTATCTTTTTCTATGTTTTGTAAAGGGTACTATGAATCTACAAAGAATCATTGTTTAAAATTTGCATAAATGTCCTCATTTTCAAAATTACTGAGAAATTTTATTGTAAAAAAATTGTGCCATTTCCTCTCTTCTATTATCACACTAATGTACATATGCTACTCATCACAGATTTTTCTTTCAATAACATTATATTTAGAGATAGAAATTTACTTCTGCATATAATTTATTTTTATTGAATGGCTTTGTACAAAGACAGTCTTTGTTTTCCTCTCAGCTAGAGGTATGTATAGACAGTGAATACTCCATTCTATCTAACACAGTTTTGTCTTTTGCATGGAACCATTAGAATTCTCACTTCCAATCTGTCATATTTATTTTGAAATGGTATGAAATTATGAAATGTCTAACTACAATTTATTTGTTTTGTTTTAATAAGCTAGGCCAAGTGTGAGAATTTGCAATACTGTATTCCTGATGGTTGCTAGTGCAAAACATCTGCTTTAAAGAAGTTAATGAATTTTTATTTTTTTTCACTCAAGGAAGTTAGCACATATTTTGTTTCTAAATGAAACTCAGGTGTGCTAAAATCTGTATTAATATCACTAACTGCTGCATGACAGTTTAGATTGAACTGAACTTGATATATACCACTTTCTCCCATTATTGTGTGACAATTATAAACCTTTCTTTTTTTATTTATGTCTACTGAAATATCGCTCCTGGAGATGGGGAGTGGGCATTCTGTTTGTTACCTTCTTTACAGCCAAGCACAGCTGATCTGAATGAACTGTGCAATCTTCTCATTTCTTAATTTTGTAAAGACTGAAGCATGCAAAAAGAAAAATATGTTTGGTCATAAATAGGAAATGCAGTATTATATGAGAGAGGAAGCCATGAGAATGATGAGGAAAGAAGGCAACTGACGTGGAGCTGATTTAAGATAAAAAAACCTTACTCCATTGAGACAAGAGATTTCAGTATCTCACATAGTAACTAGCATTATTTTTATTGAGTTTAACAAGTAAGTAGATTTGAACAAAAATGTCCTAATCCTGAGCCCTAAAAGACCTGAAACTGTTAAGTGTTTGTTGTAGTTTAAACAAAGTCAGCCATAAATCACACAGTCGATCTCTCACTCCCCCCACCTTGTTGCCCTCCCCCTGCTCCGGGAGGTATGGGAAGGAGAATCAAAAGAATGCAACTCCGATGGGTTGAGGTAAGAACAGTTTAGTAACTAAGGTATAACACAATTCACTACTGCTACCACCAATGATAATAATGATAAAGGAAATAACAAGGGAAGAGAATACAACACCTCAGCACCAGCCGACTGATAACTCGTCCCTCCTGCCTGACCAAGTACCGACCGATACCTAGTCCAACTCCACAGTCCTAGCCTTTCCGGGTAACTCTCAGTTACGTCCTGGGCATGACGTGCTGTGGTATGGAATATCTCTTTGGTCAGTTTGGGTCAGGTGTCCTGTCTCTGCTTCTTCCTGGCTTCCCCTCCTCCCTGGCAGAGCATGAGGCTCACAAAGTCCTTGGCCAGACCAAACATGTGAGCAGCAACTAAAAACATCAACGCTATCAGCACTGTTCCCAGGCCGAAAGTCAAAACCACAGCACTGCATCAGCTACCAAGAAGGCGAAAAATGACTGCTACTGCTGAAGCCAGAACAGTATGCACCCCTTATTCCATACCATTCACGTCATGCTGAGATCTCACATTTTCAATATACTCTTATCAGCGCACTCTTATCTTAGTGCATGGACCAGTCCCTATAAAGCTGCTGAGTCCATCTGGTCCATGATGTCAGGCTCCATCTCTTGTAACAGTCTTTCAGACCAGGAGAGGCTGTGTGCAGTATTCACACTCATGAATAACCTGGGCAATAGTGCCCATTGCTAAGTCCACCCCTTGATCATGAGTCCATCTCTATGTTGCATCTCTGCCCTGATGGCCTGAAGTGCCATGGGCCCACCAGGCTCAAAATAATTCACCGTCCTCTTCAGCAGTTTCTGCAGCTTGTTGCTGGGGACTCGATACAGCTGCCTTCCATTTCTGACGCTTCCAAAGCACTGGAGGGGCCCAGTGGACTAGATACTCACCCATACTGTCCCACACACCCTGCCACCCGTAACTGTCCAGCCTTGGGGAAAATCTCTTGGTCCTCCTAGATCGTTGGCTATCCCCAGAGAAGACCCAAACCCTACTCTGCTTAACTTTTGAGATCAGACAAAATGGCTGTGGGTAGAACACAGTCTGTATGTGTGCCAACATGCTGATCCCCATCACAATCAGCGGGCAGGTCCCAAGGATACCCAAAGGCCATTCAAAACCTTCAGAACTCTCAAACGATGCTGCTGGACTTGTCACTGGGGCTGGTGCAGCTGCTGTGCTTGCCGGCTCTCCCACCACCAGCTTCTCTTTTCCTGAGTCCAGCTCTTCCTCCTCTGCCTTGCTGGGAAATGCTGCGTGGTCTCCTGCATCCTCCTGGGGCTCGGCGGGCGGCTGCCGGGGAATGCTCTCGGACGTCGCGGGGCTGGGCTCGGCCGCGGGGCCGGGCTCAGCTCCTCTGCGGGTCTCAACTCCTCCTGCGCCGCCTTCTCCCTCTGTTCGGCAGCCGCCTCCTTCCGCTCCTCGACCGCCCCGACCTCCTCCACCGGCAGCCGCCCCCTGCCGGCTTCCAGACCCGGTTCCGCCGCCGCTTGGTTCCCGAGGCCGCTTTCCCGGGCCGCTTCAGCAGCCGCCGGCTCCCAGAGCAGCTCCCCCTCGGCTCCCCGCAGCCTCACAAAGATGGAGGCGAGGGCGAGGGCCAGGACGGTGAAGAGCAGCCGGACGGCCAGGTACAAGTCCACGGCCACGTCCGTCCCACCCTGCTGCTGGAGCCCGCCCGTATTACAAGTCATTGCCATAAAGTACAGTGAGACAAGAACCTTAGCCGAAGCCTCACACTTGATAAACACTAACACGGAGAATACCGGCTCTAAGTAAGTTACAACATTCTGAAACTGTGAGATCAAGAGGAACAACTCTGAGAGCCAATAAATCAGCACTGTGACAAGTGACTATTAATCCGGTCAGATCTGTTGTTATCTCAACCCCGTTGGGTGCCAGAAAGAACTGTTAAGTGTTTAAACAAAGTCAGCTATAAATCACACAGTTGATCTCTCACTCCCTCCACCTTGTTGCCCTCCCCCTGCTCTCAGAGGGATGGGAAGGAGAATCAAAAGAACGCAACTCCCACGGGTTGAGGTAAGAACAGTTTAGTAACTAAGGATTAATACAAATCACTACTGCTACCACCAATGATAATAATGATAAAGGAAATAACAAGGGAAGAGAATACAACATCTCATCACCATCCAACCGATAACTCCCCCCCCCCCCAGCCTGACCAAGCACAGACCAATACCTCATCCAACCCTGAAGCCCTAGCGCTCTGGGTAACTCTCAGTTACATCCTGAGCATGACATGCTGTGGTATGGAATACTTATTTGGTTAGTTTGGGTCAGGTGTCCTGTCTCTGCTTCCTCCCGGCTTCCCCTCCTCCCTGGCAGAGCATGAGGCTCACAAAGTCCTTGGTCAGCCTAAGCATTTGAGCAGTAACTAAAAACATTATTGTTATCAGCTTTCTTCCCAGGCCGAAAGTCAAAAACACAGCATTGCACCAGCTACTAAGAAGGAGAAAAATGTCTGCTACTGCTAAACCCAGGACAGTGTTCCTTCATATTAGCTGAGCTTCAGAATCTATAATACTCATTCATCTAGTCTGCAAAATATATGATGCGCCTTAATGCAACTTGAAGAAATTAAGAAATTTAGACCAGATAGAATTCTTTGACTAGATAGAATTCTTTGATATTTGACCCATTTAATCATACCTATTCTGAAACATATACCTGTGTTACATTTCACTGTATGTTGTGCTAGCATCATGAGAATTCTAAGAAAAAAGTTGTGTTTATTCGTAATCAGGGAAAAGAAAACATTTTAACTCACTTCCTGACAGAGAAAGAATGTATTTTGACTTCCTGTAATAATATCCAGCACGGCAATGATATATGGAATTTAAATCACCTACTGCAAAACACACAATATGGAGAAGAAAATTCTTAGATTTACATTATTTACATCTGCATTGGAGACATGATAATTAAACTGGAATCTTGTTTTTGTACTTTAATTCCATTCTCCCTTTCTGGAAATGTAACAACTCTAATTCCATTCTCCCTTTCTGGTAATGTAACAACAGAAGATATGACAGAGTTTCACCAAAAGCAATGACTCAAAATGTCATATTGTAGTATATTTCAACGTCTAACTTATTTATTTTTGTTTAAATTATATTTATAAATGGTATGAAAGTTCCAGAAAGTGTAGGATCCTTGTTGTAAATATATTATATCAAAATGATAAATAGATTGAAGATTTTTACAGATGTTTTAATGTGCATAAGATTTAGAAAGCAATATCGAAACCAGAAGTACACTGGGACAGATTTAAAAATATTACAATCTAATTCCTGGTATGCAATTCAGTTCATTATTCTGTATAATAATAAGCAGACTGTCTTATATGTTGTTATAACTTGAAAAGAAATATTTCTACAAGCACATTAATTTGTAAATTTTCTGTATGCGATCTATTCAATAGATTGGAATTTTTTCAGACTGTCTGCAAGAATCAGAAGAAATAGAACCTCGGGAAGTCTTACTGCTTTGAATTCACTAGTCTAGCTATTAACATTTCATCTGTTGAAATTTAAAAAAGCATATATGCCAAAGTTTTCATTTATTACTGTTATTTCAGTAGTAAACTATGATCAACAATATGTTTCAATAACAAGGACAAAAATACAGTAACGCACACAGCTGCAGTTCTACTGACAGATGATCAATGTGGAGCCATTTAACAGGGTAAAGGAGTTATTTGAAGGTGATAATAAAAACACCTAATAAATCATATTATAAATAACAGAAAAACTTTCAGGTTAAAGTGCATTCTGAAAATTGCACTGGAAGTTTTTCCCTTTTGAATTTAATCAGACTAAAAATTTAAGACTATACAAATAATGCAAGAATACAAATCAGCATTTGGAGCACTGTTGAAGTGGCACTCTTTAGAAAATTTCAGAGACAAAATGTTAGCAGTACCCTAGTGTCAGTTTCCTTATTATCAGTATGGCTGATATTTGTTGCAGGCTTAGACCATCAGTCCTCAAGAATATAAACTTACATTTTATTTCAAATAAAAAGAAAAAAAAAAGTTGTTCCAACAACTGCCTTTGAATATTCCTGCACACTGAGACTTATGTTACATTATTATCCAGAATATTCCTTCCAGAATAAGAAATATTACTGGTTTATGAGGTATAGTTAGTCCTTTATGAAATCTTTGCTACTTATCTCACAATCTCCAAATTGGATCCATGCCTTGAGATAGGACCTGATATTCCAAGTGAACCATAGCAGCTTTTAGACAGCACTTATATCCTGATATTTGAATCAAGACCTGTTTTCTTATTAGATGACAGTAAATTAAGGTTTTCTTATCCAAGGGAAATTAACACCTGTCAAAATTTAAGAAAAGCATTCAGCTGTGGAAAAACATTTCAGACTGATCACATCAATTACATGTTGTTGTTGGCATAAGGGAAAAAGGATAAGGACATTTACATTCTTTTTTAAGTAGCACACCGGGAGAATTCAGTCGTCATGAACATAAGGAATGCTGATCATTAAGTAGCTCCAGTCAGAATTTAATAATTTTTTTTTCAATGCAAAATAAAGATCATTAATATAAATCATAAAGTTTTTTTAATGTCTTATGCCACCAAACTTTCAGAATGTGTATAAATGTTAAAATTTGATCTGTTAATGATCTCACAGAAGGAAATTACAAAAGAAAGATGATTTTTCAAATCAAAACATAGAAATGGGAAATGGGAACAATAGGAAAGATTAATTGTTACCTCATCTTAATTGTGTATCTATACAGGTGGCTAGTTCCAGCCTGTGCTACCATGGACAAGATAGAAAGAAAAGGAATTTTAAGATTTTACAAACAATAGGAAGAGATTAATGCATTTGAAAATCACCCACTTGAACTGAGGTACCACTAACAAGATAAAAACGTGAAAAGGGCAGAACACTATACAGTAGCTATGTATGTAGCTTCCAGTGACTTGCTAGTAACTAATTTGTCAACTAATGGTTAACTAATGACTAAGGGAGAAGCTGCCATAGCAGTGTTACCTTACATAGCAAGTAAAACAAACAGAATGAGGGCCAATAGTGAAGGGATAAAGAGGGGTGTGATATTTCTTTGGCAAGAGGCATCAACTTTTTAAAATGAAGAATATAGGAGGTTAAAAAGAAGGGAATAGATAATATAAAGTCAAACAAATCATATGATCAGGGCTGCTTGGAGCCCCTCTGAAGCAGTCTTGCACATAGTCATTGCTATTTGAAACAGAATATTAACACTGTTGTTGATACAAAAATATGTATTTCTTATTTTTTCTTTACTCTCAGGGGGATTAGGAACACTAAAATTAGTGAAGAAATACCCAGGAACAGACTTAAAATCGTGACATTGCAACAATCTACAAAACCAGCATGTCTCTAGAGGACAATATTTAAGTCATAGAATCATAGAATCAGAATAGTTTGGGTTGGAAGAGACCTTCAAAGGTCATCTAGTCCAGCCTCCTGCAATGAGTAGCAACATCTTCAACTAGATCATGTGGCCCAGAAATACATCCAGCCTGGCCTTAAGTGTTTCCAGGGATCGTATATCTACCACGTCTCTGGGCTACCTGTTCCAGTATTGTTCCTGTTATATATACCTGTTCCATACTCATTGTAAAAAGTTTCTTCCTCATACCTAGCCTACTCCACCCCTCTGATCATTTCTGCAGCCCTTCTCTGGACCCTCTCCAACAGGTTCATATCTTTCCTGTACTGAGGACACCAGAGCTGCATGCAGTACTCCAAGTAGGGTTTCACAAGAGCAGATTAGAGGGGCAGAATCACCTCCCTTGACCTGTCGGTCACACTCATTTTGATGCAGTCCAAGACACAGTTGGACATCTGGGCTGCAAGTGCACTTTACTGGCTCATGTCCAACCTCACAATGTGCCTTTATGGTAGTTAAGATGAAATAACTTCAATCATTTTAAGTTATGAATGAAGGCAAAATTTATAACCCCCAAATTTACCCAACTATTTCACTACCTTGAAGAATATTTGTTATTTGGACAGAAGCAAAGTCCCTGCCCAAATATCTTATCTGTACACATCCAAACACCAACATCACCAAATCCCATGCCTGACTTGGGCCTGTGAAATTATATACAGTAGAAATAGAACTGAGCTGTAAATGCTGCCCACATTTTTTATGATGCCTGAGTATATGAGCTAGTAGTTTTAATACGCTTCTCCACCTGAATTAAAGAAGTGATAATATGCCTGATACCATTACTAAATTCTTGTCTAACAGACAGGTAAATCAGTTTAGAAATGCACAATGCTACATCTCTCAGAACACGATCAGGTTGTTATTTAAATAAAGTAAAACAAAAGCTGTTCTGCATAAACACAGGGAAGGATACAAAACAAAATGAAAATACAGCTGGAGAGACGTTGGTTTTAATCAGGTAAGGAAGATCGGTTGTTACAAAAAGGGGAGATGAACATAGGAGAAAATTATGACAGATGACAAATTAATCCAGTTCAAAAGCTGTTCTCTAATCATAATTTATTTTTCTTTTTCCTTGGTTTTCAATGCAGCATAAAATACCCACAACAAACCATGAATTAAACCACATTAAATGAATGTGAGGAAACCAGAGGTGCTTGGGCTGTTTAGACCACATTCAACTCTAAACACAAACATTATAACAAGAGTAGCAAGCTTCCATTGTTGAAACAGTTTTCTCTTTTGAGAAAACTCTTCTCTCTTTTTATGGTAAGCGTATGATTATTTTCATAGCAACTGAAGATGAAATAAATATATCACCTGTAGTGAAAGCAAGGTTTTCTTATTCCAGCAAATGTTATTGTCTGCCTCAACAGAAAAAAATTTTCTATAAAACAGAATGGTTGCATCTTAAGAGTTCTCCTAAGCTTGCTTTCTGTGTCCTATCCATCTATTACATTATGGTTCTGCTGTGGATTGGAAAACTGCAATTTGTTTGTTTCTTTTTAATTTTACATTAATCTACCCTCTGGCACCTCACTTCAGCACAAATAAGAACAGTGCTTCCAGAAAAGACAACCTGGCTATGACTGCATGATTAAATCTTTAACTGAAACAACGGAGAATAAGGGGTAAATTAAAACAGTTTAAATAAAGTGTCTCAAACATTTTTAATTTAGAAGATGACAGAAAGGATTGTAGACAGTCTTAAAGCTAGCACTGGGAAAATTCACATGAAACAGACTAGAGAAACCCATTTATAGAACAAGCAATACAAATTCTGAAATCCTGCAGATAACTAACAGATAAATCTAGGGTGTTATGCAATTAGGTCAAAATTACAGTAATTAAAAAAAATTTTTTTTTTTTTCCAAATTTGAGACCCTTGAACCATCATTGCTGGATGTCATTGAAGTTAGCTTTTAAAATAAGAATATGAGAGAATATGAAATAAAAAAATAGTATTTCTAAGTGCTCTACAGTTTATATGTTACAGTATACTTATATGTTTTCTATTAAACTCACAGAGCTCTAGCCTTTTATCAGGACTCAGTTTAAGCTGAACATTAGTTTACACAGAAACAAAGTTATCTTTGAAAGGTTAAATAACATGGAGTTTACAAGAAAAAAATAATTTTATCAGAAAAGTTTGTGTGCATGTTTCATAAGACATTCATGAAAATAAAAGGATAAATGTTGGAAGGTATACACCTTTCATGATCTGGAGCCCTCATGTTGTAAAATGATAAATCTGGCTTTAGATATGCTAGTATTGAACTTGTCACATTGCAGTCTAGTGGAACAAAACACTGATATGGTGTAGCTCTATATACAATGTACTGTATTAAATTTATCAACTCCTGAAATAAGTGGCTATATACAAAATATTTTATTAGATATCTGCTAATTTTAATATAAAGGAACCTTTCATTAATGACTGGCCACGAAGTAGTTTTTTTCCTTCTCTCATATTTTATTAGTATTGCCTTTTGAGTTTTTACATATCATACCTTCATTATTTCTCATGCTGTCATTCTCTTTATAATCGAATTTTTTCTCACTTCTGATGTCTTCATATTTCTGATTTTCTTTTTCTAATTCATAAAAATCATCTTCAGTTTCACCTATGTGATTTGAAAAGTAACATTTCTTAAACTTCTTTGTTACAACTTCAAGCTTTGTCTTATCTCTTCCTTTTTTAATCCAATGTCAAAACCATGTGGCATAAGGTTCCTTCATTTTCCTTGCAGGGATTAAAACAGGATCCTATACCAGCATCCATTTTGATTATAAAGAGTGAATGGTCTCCTGTATAAAGGGCTTGCAGTTGTAACATCTTTCCTTCTAATATGACAAGATCAGTATTTCTTCCTCTAATAGTATTCTTCACTGCTGCCGACAGATATTCTTTGAATGTTTCTTGGACAAGTATTCCTCATAGCAGCACACATCTTCTACTCCAAATGTCATTCAGGCAATCCTTCACTAAATTTGTAGATGTTCCTCCCAGTTTTGACTCTTGACAACTATTCCAATAGGCAGCTGATCCCTTGGCATTGCTTTATGTATCAAGAACACATTCAATTTTATACCATCTATTGATGCTGCCAACATTACTGTAATGTACATTTTTTTATTTTTTAAACTCTTTCAGCTGTATAACTTAAGGTTTCGACTGCATTACCCATTTGACTAAGCAGATGATAGTCATGATATTTACATAATCCCGTCACATACTGCTAGAATGCAATGAGCTTTTCTGTGAAGTCTGAAGGTAGATGTTGGCAAAGCAATGTTTTCTCCCAAAGGCATTATGAAAACACATCATTCCTATTCAGCTCTACTGTCAACTGCCTTCTTGCTCTGGAACATTTTCTGGTTATGGTATTTCTTGATCTTTCATCTTAATGATTTCCCATGTAACTGGTCTGCATCCATTGTTTAAATATGTACAAATTCCACAACTAAGAGTTATAGAATTGGAGAACCGTTAAGATTGGAAAGTGCCATCTAGTCCACCATTGTGGACTAGAATTCATCCATCAAATTCTGTTCAGTTGTGCCTTTATAAATCATATTAAAACTGCTCTTACTAATACCTTTTATGTTCACTCAAAACACTCATTTAACAACAGCTATCCTATTCAAAATATAGCTACCACTAAATCCAAACCAGATTTTTCTTCTGTCTGCTCTAAGTGTGCTTTTGGGAGCGGAGGCGCTGTCTACTGAATGATTTCTGAATCCTTAGCTCATGAAAGCTCCTGTTTTGACTTTTTCCATCTTCACACTTGCAATCCCATCTCATTACATTTTCTCTCATCCTCACCATTAGATTTTTTTTCTTTTTGCATACAGTAACACCATGAGTATAAAATTTGCACTGTAACTTGTCCTTATGTCTTTTGATAGTTGGATATCTCACTTCCAAAACATCTGTCATTTTATATTAGTAAAATCCAAGAAGACTCATAAAGCTATGAAAATTGCAGTGGAATTCTCTGAGCTGCAATGCACCACAGTTTTGCAAATAGGAGAGAGAAACAGTAGTATTCAATTGGCCTCACTGCATCATTATTCAGTTTTAGGCTGCTTTGGAGTATTTCTTCTCTCAACAGGAGAGCTTCTACACTGCAGTCTAATGACCATACTGACCATAAAAAGCATGACACTAAATTCAAGAGTGCCCTCAGATTTTAATTTAAATTGCTGAAAAAGCTACCTTTATCTTCCTTTTAGGAAAACAGAATTTTTATGAAATCATGTTGACATGTTTATATTGGTTCCATTGTTTTGTGCCAATGCTAAAAGTTTACTGGCCTTGTCAGAGCTAATCTTTTTCACATACGCTTTCTACTCATACCACTCACTCTTCAAACTCACTGCTGTGGAATGTTTCTGGGGATGGCTGCTACCTTTCTTTAGATGCAGATTTGGGGCACAGTGTTTCTTGAAACAAGTTATAAAATTGAGCTTTTTAGCATTGTTTCAGCAGCGATTACCTAGAATGAAATTACATCAGTTTGTGCTGTCTAACCTCTAGTGTTGAATCAGAGCCAGACCTGCTGTGAAGACATCTATGCCATCCTAAGTCAAATTTACAGAGGTATCTGTTATGAATCAAACAAGAACAAGGGAATTATATTGAAACTGTGTTGTCAGGGAAAGCCACTATTCCTTACAGGCTACACGTACTAGTATTGAAACCTGCAATATCTCTGAATGCATGTTTCAGTATGGGCAAGAAAGTGACCTGCAAATTGTGTAGGTTCTAATGAAAACTAGAGCCAAGAGGACATCCTGTCCATACAACAAGGAAGTTTACCAGCTCTTTAGTCTGTCATGGATATAGTTCCAGAGTACTACAGGGTTTCCATGGCAGAGGCCATGAGACTTTCAGATTTGTAAAACACAAGTTCAATCTCTTCCATGACAAGAATAATGGCTAGATTATTGTGAGAGAAGGAAACTGGAACCTCTTTTAAACCCTCTTTGAAAGAATCCAAGGGTGAGTGAAGCAAATAGTGTGTCATAAACAAACAAGGAAGCTGCTTTGAGATCCCATTGCTACCTTATGTTTTGATCTCTTTCTCTGAGAATGTAGCTTGATCTTACATTTTGAAAACGCATCTGTGCAACATGGAAGTTACATCATCCCCCTGTGCTGACAGGTTTCATCTATCTAGATGGAAGCCTCCCTTAGGCTCCTACAGGCATTCTGAGATCATGACTTTGGATACACTGCACCCAAGCAATTCACAGCTCGGTGAACCCTACTAAAAGGATCATTTCTGGGCCATATCGTATGCCTTGCTTTCATTTTGTCATAGAATCATAGAATAGTTGGGTTGGGAGGAACCTTCAAAGGTCATCTAGTCCAACCCTCCCCCTATAAGCAGGGATGTCTTCAACTAGATCAGGTTGCTCAGAGCCACATCACCCTGGCATTATTAAATGTCTCCAGGGATGATGCATCTACCACCTCTCTGAGCAACCTTTGCCAGTATTTTACCACCTTCACAGTAAAGACTTTTTTTCCTCACATCCAGCCTGAAACTCCCCTTTTAGTTTAAAACTGTTACACTTCATCCTATCACAACAGGCCCTGCTAAAAAGTCTCTCCTCATCTTTCTTATAAGCCCGTTTTAAGAACTGGAAGGCCACACTAAGGCCTCTCTGGAGCCTTCTCTTCTCCGCGCTGTATAACCCCACCTCTCTCAACTGTTTTATATAGGGGAGTTACTCCATCCCTCTGATCATTTGTGTGGCCCTCCTCTGGATGCCCTTCAATAAATCCACGTCTTTCCTGTACTGAGGACTCCAGAGCTGGATGCAGTTCTCTAGGTGTGGTCTCACGAGAGTAGAGCGACAGAATTCTTGACATCCCTTGACCTGCCTTGACCTCCTGGCCACGCTCCTTTTGATACAGCCTAAGACAAGATTGGCCTTCTGGGCTGCAAGCGCACACTGGCATCTCATGTCAATCTTTGATCTAATAGTACGCCCATTCACCAGCAGCCCTCGTCAGGAGTCAGGTATACAGTTCATACTAATATCCCCACTCTGAGGCCATGGCTTGATCCCATACTATGCACAAGTACCTCTATGGTTAGGAATGCTCCATTCCATAATATCTCATCATAGGGACTTTTGATATTTCTATACTACATGCAAATTCTCATTTAATCTCTCTCCAACACCATAAAAAGCCCTCAGAAGCTGCAAACAGACATGGACCTAGAACAAATTATTGAATGAGAATCAAAAATGCACTTGCTGAATCTCAGCTAAATGGAACATCCATTCAAAATACTGATTAGGATTCCTGGCAGACTGGGAGATGACCCTGCAAAGGTTGTTTTTTCCTGTAAAACTTCAGTTACTCCTCAGGCACTTTAAATATCAAGACAGATTCATTGGTCTCTCCTGGACTGAAATGAAGAAATTATTTATTTGGAGTGATGCTGACTAGTATATTGTCATCCAGCAATAAGGCTGCTTGCAATGGGCATCACTGATTTTCCCTAAACCACCTCTTTGTGCCCAGGGTTGGAACCACAGGACTGCACAGACATCTACAATCAGAAACCACATTTCATCACTGAAATGAAAAAAATATTCAGCCACAACTAGCTGCCACTGCCTTATGTCTAGGGCAGTAGGTCTGACCCATATCCCCATTTCTTTTCTTCACTTAAAGAACAACAAATATCATTCAACTCAGTATGCAATAGAACCTCTGATCACCAACACCATCTCGCGCAGTGAAGAACTGGTGATGGGGGTCTTCAGTGTTATGGAAAATAAAAGCTTATTCATCTATATAGTGACAAAAGATAAGAGGAAAATAATCACGCCTTCTTTCTTATGAAGTCTCAACTCCTGTAGTCAAAGTTAGTCAGCCAAGGACAAGTACAGATCAGAGGATGTTGAGAGAAAAACAGCATGAACCAATAGGCTGCTGTAATAAAAGAGAATAAAGCAAAGTGATGATGTGCTTTCCCACAGTGAAGAGAGCATTCCTTAGCAACCATAGATTGTCATATAGCAACAGGATAGGTAGGCCATAAGTTCAGTGGAAAACTGTAAACCAGGTGGAAAACTCACTGGACTGCTTAGGTTCAAATGGGAGGGTGTAATAGTTTAAGGTGTAGCTGGTACTCAGTCACTTCCAGTGCCCCCAATGTTAATGGAGTAAACCTATACAATAGTACAGCCTAGGTGTCAGCTGATGTCATGGTTTAACCCCAGCTGGCACCTAAGTACCACACAGCTGCTTGCTCACTCACACCCTCAGTAGGATGAGGAGGAGAAGCATTTAAAAAAAAATAAATGTAAAACCAGAAAGTTGAGATCAGAAAGTTTACTAATTAAAATAAAGTAAAATATTATTATTGTTACTATTATTATTAATAGTAACAATAATAATAAAAGGAAATAAAAAAGACAGAGGAATAAACCCAAGAAAGACAAGTGAGGCACAATACAATTGCTCACCACCCACAACAGATAGACCAGACAAGGTGGACAGCTGCTTAATTTCCTTTGTCTACAAGGCAGCAATACCAAAAGCCCATTGGTACCCTTTCGGTTCTTTGAAGTACCCTCTCCTGAGATGGCCAAGGATGCATGGAGCCCCTGGACCCATCACAATGGGGTGCTTTTGCCACTCCTTCCCAGGAGAAAAAAAAAAAAAAAAAGGCGAAAGAAAAAAAAAGGTGAAAAAAAAGAAAAGGGGAAGTCTTACCTAAAAAAGTTTCAAAGATCCAAGCTCTAGTGACAGCAGTATAATTAAGAGTCTCTGGGAATGCCTCAGAATTAGAATTCTAAAATCAGTGTTTCCATTTGCCACATTGTTATGTAAATGTTTACCACTCCAGTTGAGTTGCTGAAAGCAGATTATGATGAATTATTTCTCTCCCATGTGTTTTCTTTGAGGTTGGGGTTTTGGAGTTATTTGGGGGTTTTCTTTTCTGATAACTTTTGGTCCATAAAAATGATTTTCAGCATCTATTGCATGATCAGGCAGGCTTCTCTCAGGTGATTGTGCTCCCAATTAAGAGCAATCTTAAAATAATTTTTCCTTCCGAGTGTTGTCTATCAGATACAATTTTTGCTGCACACAATCTGTAACATTGTCTCATGGTCAAATGAATATCAGCTGCCTGCCCTGCTGCAGCTGCAGCTCTATGACTGCTGCTTGTGGCAACAGCCTGACAGACCAAGGATCAACCTTTCAGACAAAAGAAAAAAGCCCTTTGTTTCATGGGGGCTACCATGAAGGCAACTCGCAGGAAAGAGAGATACACAAATAGTCCAAAACCTTAAGAGGATGGTAAATCCAGCTGTAACATCAAACTTCTTGTAACAAAAATTTCAGCAACCTGAACAACTCACCATAGAACCTGCTTATTCTTCTTTAGAAGTATCCTCTGTGCTAAACTGCTTTACCTTTTGAAATAAAGAAATGTTGAAATCACTAAGTAAGACTATGAAAAGCATTATTAGCAGTCTGCTTGTGTTGACTGCATCCTTTCAGGCACATCTTACTTCTTGGCTCAACTTCAGCTAAGACATTACTTTGCCAGGTGGAAGCAGGCACTGTCATCTTTTCTTTGCAGGAAGGCTCTTTCCATAATCTCAGGTTTGACTAACCTGTTCATTGTTTCTCACAGTAGTCTCTCTGTTGCCACATGGTCTCCAAGCTTCAATTCCTTGCTTTAACTCTTTTTCTTCTCCTTCATTCAGCTTCTTACTGCAGACTCTGGAACACAAGACATGCTGGCCCTGTCACTGTCACTGTAAATGAAGAAAAAAAAACACAAACCCATGCAAACAAATCAGACACTATTAATCAGAAGCACTCTATGAGACCAGCATACCTCTGTCCGCTTGTATATCTGAGATCAGGATCCACACCAGTGATACAGCTGCATTTGTTCCTCTCTGAGGAGATTTTTTCTACAAAAGATATAGTGTAACGCTTTTTTTCCCACTCTGCAAAAATGCCTTTCTTGAAATTGAAGCCCATGGTTAAACCCTAACCCAATTCCTAGCAATCCTTGGAGGGAATGGGAAAAGTTCACATACAAGAAAGAATATAAAAAACAGTAACTGATGTGATGCCTGCCTAAAATCTCAATTCATCACTAAGAATGAACCAAACAACCATGTCTGGCAAGCTCTTAAACATTTTGTTCGATAGCTTCTTTTGTACAATGCATTATTTTACCTGCTGTTTCAGACTTTCTAAAAATATTTTAAAAAGGAAACAAAAAAAAGAAATCCCTAAAAAATATCTTAAAGTTTTGCCTGACAGGGGCTCCTTAGCCAAAATTAGCCCAGAGGAATAACTTTATAACTTCTTGTATTTCTCCCATATGCTTTGTCATATTTCATTGACCAGTACTTCTAGGCTTTTATTTATCTGCTTGGGTGTGCAAAGTGTGTGCAGGGACACTGGAGCTTCATCATTCTTACTGGGCACCTCTTGATAACAACTCCAGTTTGTGACCCATGTCCAGATCTCTTTCCATAGTAATGAAAAGGTATAGGGTGTAGGTTAGTTTATCTTTTTTCTGAGTCAGATATAAAGGTAGGATGTTGCAGGTGTGTGAACCCAGGTCCTGGACTGGAATTTAGAAGGTCCCTAGCATATCTTTGGATGCAATTTTTTCTCAAAATCCAAGCTAATCTATTTGGTTATATGTTGTCCTGGTTTCAGCTAGGATAGAGTTAGTTTTTTTCCCCATAGGTGGTACAGTGCTGTGTTTTGGCTTACACTGATGTTTTAATTGTGGCTAGTGATAGGACAAGGGGTAATGGATTCAAACTAAAACAGGTGAAGTTCAGGTTAGACATAATGAAGATGCTCTCTGCTGTGAAGGTGGTGAAGTGCTGGAACAGGCTGCCAAAAGAAGTGGTAAACTCTCCATCCCTGGTATCATTCAAGGCCAGGTTGGAGCATTGTGCAACATGGTCTAGGGTGAGGTGTCCATGGAACTCATTGGTCAAAAGGTCCTTTCCAGCCCTAACTGTTATATGGTTCTATGATTCTATGATGCTTACCCTAACTGAAGGACTTTTCAGTGTCCCATGTTCTTCAGTGAGAAAGGGCACAAGAAGCTGGGAACGAGCATAGCCAGGACAGCAGATTTGAACTAGCCAAAAAGATACTCTATAACATAGAATGTCATGTCCAGTAGATAAACTGGAGGGAATTGGCCAGGAGGGGCTGATCACATTCAGGGACTGGCTGGGCATTGGTCAGCAGATGGTGAGCCATTATATTGTGCATAACATTTTTTCTTTGGTTTTACTCCTTTCTCTCTCTTTCTTCTATTATTATTATTATTATTATACTTTATTTCAATTATTAAACTTTTTTTACAACCAATAGGCTTTTACCTTTTTTCCAGTTCTCCTCCCCATCCTACCAGGGTTGGGGAGTAAACAAATGGCTGCATGGTGCTTAGCTGCTCTCTGGCTGTGATTGAAAAACAGTTGTTGTTACAAAATGAAAGCGATTAGACATTCTTTTCAAACTCATTTACATAAAGAGGCTGAATCAAAATTACTTGCATAATTACAATTTTGAGCAGTACATTATTGTGAAAAAGAGAGGAAGTATTGGTAAAAGGTGCTGTCCCCTAGGTCATTTGATAATCAGACGTCTTAACCATAACTTGCAAATAATATTCCCTAGATAATAGCAGTTTTCTATTGTCAGCATTTAATCATTAAAGTCATTCACTTAATGCCACTAGTCCAGCCTATGTACTCTTAGTGATATATATATAAAGGTATATTGCACAATGAGAACTTAATGGTAGTCAAGACTTGTCCTTCACTTTTCACTTCCTGCAATCCAATTATGTATGTAAA